AAAAATGTGTACAATATTTAGTTAACTGTTGTTGTCATTGTTATGAGTGAATTTCCAATTGAATGCTGCATTTTAATAACATAAACTTACAATATTAGTGACAATTTTAGGAAAAAATGGTGGCCATTTTGAAACTGCTGGCAACTCCCCTTACGTATAAAAAAAAATGTTGCACATACTTTTTTGATTTATCAATGTCTACTCTACATCATATCCAATTTTTTAAAAATATAGCAAAAAAAAATGCAACCTCTGATATTGCTACATTTCGGACTGGACTACAAAGCCTAAATGTAAGGATTGAGCAATTCAAGTTTTAAAAAGATTTTTTATGAGGTTCTTTTTTTAGACAGTGTACTGTACTTCACTGTCAATCAGTCAATCCTTTAGTTCAAATTGATAATGTTTTTTTAAATTTAAATTTAATAAATAAAACATAATTGGGTATATAAATATAATACAATATAGGAAATATTTAAATTTTAAACAAAATATAAACAAAAGCCAATTAAGGAAAATCTTATTAGTTAAAAAACTAATAAGCTGTTCTCCAAACCTAACTATAGAATAATGAATGAGTGAAACAATTAACAATTATGAAAGACACATATTTCCATTACACAGTATATTCAGATTTATTAAACTACACAAAACAAAACAATGCAATTATTAAAATTTATTATTAGGATAAATGGTTAAATTTAACTTACTCCTGGCATGATGGCTTGCTCGACATCTTTCATAATGTCTTCCCATTGGTCAGGCTTCTGTGGTGCTGAATTGGGAATCAGTTTGCTGAGGTATCCAGGTTCTACCTGTGCTAGGGGCGGTCTTTTTTCAATGCTGTCTATGTAGCCTGCTATGTAGTTAACCATTTCCTTTCCTCGCTCTCGGAATTCATTTGAATCCGTCATGGTTGCTGCATTTTTGTCACATTTTGAGGAGGAAAGAAAAAATTAAAGACAATGTTTGCAAATATTTTTGCAAAAGAAATGCCATAGTAGCAGTTTCCAATTTTTGTAAGATTTAGCTATTATCTTAATCCTTATTGTTTCTTAATTCCAAAACTTTTTTATTACAGGTCTCCCTCCAATTAAAGAACACTTTTGGGACCGGGGTTTCCATTGTCTTTAGCAGTTTTAGTCTCTAATTATAATATTAAATAAAGATAAAAGACATTTGTTAATTTTGGGACCATAGAAAGGTGGTTTTTTAGTTGGAGGTGGTCTTTAATTGGAGGGGTCTTTGTTTAGAGGGAGGCCTGTACTTTCTATTGTTATATTGTCCTAAGTGCATATAGATACTTACACACAGTAACTATATAGAACTGTAATTGGATTCCTTATGGTTAGGGTTTGTGTGTATTTTATATGAATACATTTTTATTGTATTTATTTTCATTTATTTATTGATATTTAGTTTTAACTTTTTAGGATTAATTGCCAACCATCACTCACCAAATTTATTTTGGTTGTTAAAATGGCAACCAAGTAGCTAAAACCAAGATCAATGTTTTAAATTAGACCATAAAAAGTGCCCTTTTCAAGCATCAATACAAATATTTTGGGGATTGCCCTTGATGATGATGGTGAAGGTGACTATGACGACTATTGTTAATGAATGGAAAACATACTTAAATGAGTCTCCATTCTCAATTGAATATTGTTTAAAATAAAGTTTTTTTTAAATTTTATTTTTTTTATTTATTCATAACATAAAACATACAACTACATTACAAAGCAAATAAACCACTTCAGAAAAAAAAAATACATTTCTAAAGGCATATTTCAATTTCTCAATTTCTCAATGAGCTAGAAAAAATTATAATCAAAATGTTTTAATTCAACTTTTTTTAAAAAGAAAAGAAAATGAGGGATAAAATAAAGTTTATTGCACTGTATGTGCAATCAAATTGGTTTTCTAAATAAGTTGTAGGTGGTTGTAATGATGACATAATGACGAACTCTGATAAAGGATTATAGTAATGCATGGGCAGGCTGAGAGCCACCTAAAACACCTAAGGAAACCAAACGATTTATTGTTGGAGCTGTAAACGATGTATAAAATTTCTTTCCAACAAAAGTGCAAGGAACATTAATGCCTCTACACAAACTCACTAGCAAACGGTGTAACTTTGAATTGACTAACATACATTAAACTGCCTTTGATAAAATTAGAGACCTAATGGTAAATAT